CTTCATATTGCCTGACAGGTTTTAATTAAGTTATGCTCTGATCCTACAAGTCAGGCAGTATTTAGACCTTTGTGTGGCTAATAAAACCAAACAGGAAAAGTTTTTTCACTTCAGGCTAGTTTGATATTGGTATACTATTTACCTTAATAAATTAACTAACTACTTAGATCCTATCATGCACGCATTTCCATTTTTGGTCATCTCAAACATTTAAGGGTGACAATATATACATTCAATGTATATTTTCAGAAAATAAATCTTCCGGAATTAAACTTTTATTGCTAAAAAAAAACTACTCGTGTTGGCCAATTTTATGGTATTTGTCATAGGTACAGCCATAAATATCGGAAGAAACTAGGTCTTTGTGACGGGCTGGAAGTAACTAAGGCAGACAGATCCAATTTAAAATGTGTTTTTCTGTTATGATTTGATATAACACTGGTAAACCTTTTAAGGCTGGGAGTCTTTTTTGCGTTCGAATGAGTCACTGGTCAAGTGGCTTGCCTAGCATGAAAATAAATAATCATCAGGGGAATAAATCCTCTGGCTCTGAACTTAAAATAAAAATTGGTGTTACATGCAGCCAATATCTTTTGGGGAAAATACTCAAAAGTACGTAAAAAAATAAGAATAAATTTTGGCTCTTTAGAAGCAATATTAAAGAAATAGGAAAGAAGAAATATGACTGAAATAAAAAGACACAGAGCATGTACTGTATGTGTTATGGTAGGCAAATCAGAAAAAAAGTAAGATTAGTATCTCTAAATGGAATTAGATATTACCCTACCCAATCAAACTACAACCATCAGGTCTTTTCTTTTCATTGTCAAAGACAGACGTTAGGTGGTAACCAAAGAAGTGTATTTATACTGACTCAGGATCTCTGCTGGGGCTTGTGTCAGAAGGCACCCAGAGGCTGAGGTTATAGGTAAGGAGAAAAAGGAGCTTTCCGGAATGAAGAATAGCACACTGATACAGGAAAGTTCCGGTGTCCTCAGCCTCAAGGGGCATCCAGGCTTCATTTCCCAGGCTGAGCTGAGTTTGTGTCAGCAGAGAAGAGGAGCAGATACTGAAAGTCTGAACTAGCAGGTATTTTCCATTGCTTACAGTGTAGAACATAACAGACAGCAGAGTTATTTGTAAGATTAGAGATGGAATGCTGGGTATATCTAACATTGTAGAGTCCAGATCTGATTCTTAACTGGGAACGTGCTCAAGAATGACAGACTGGTTTTTAAGTAATCTGACACAACAACACGGTTTTATTTTATGAAAGCCAAGTTTTATCAAAAAAACCTTTGTTATCCGAGGGGTTTTAACTATAGGCTGAATCCTTTTATATGTTAATCAGACAATCTAGCAAGAATTTGTCAAAGAATTGTGACACTCACACAGAAAAATCTATAATTAACATTAAATAATCAAAATGATTCCTCATGTTATGTTAGATTACAGTTCCTAGTTGGAATATTAAACACAATTATTGTCACTTATAATACTTTGTTTAGTTTCTTTCTTTCCATGAAAAGTACTCCTAAACAGATGGAACAACTTTTAGCCCTGTCAATAGTCTGAAAGCTTTGACTGACTGAATTTTCTGAGATAGGAATTTTGGGTTTTCATGAGCTATATGCCAAAATAATCTGTATCAAGACAATAAAAGACCTGAAATATTTCAGTTAGTTTGCAATTAATCTAAAGTATATGAATGTCCAAGTTGTATCATTACATTACTGGAAATAATGAACTTTAACACAATATGCTAATATTTTGAGAAGGACCTGTATATAAATATATGTCCATAGAAGTAAATTCTGATTTTACATCTCTGTCATTAATAGAGCCGCTGCTTCCACAAACCTTTCTAAAGTTAGTATTTCTTTTCATAGACAGTACTCTTCACCAAGGGATTATATGTTTAGCTGCCTCCTTTTCCAGGAAAGGTTTCCAGGCCTTTTATTACCATTAACTTTCTCTACTTTTATTTCCATGGAAAGTACTTGTATTTATTTCTGTTAAGCTGTGTCTCTTCTGAAAACAGGGAGTGACAGAGCAGCTGCCTGTGACCTTGTGAACATTTACAGCAGAAAGTTGTCGTAGATTAGTACCACCAGTCAATCTTCAGATGGGTGCTCATAAAGTTTGTTTTAATGGGTCAAGTAATATTCTATGTAACTGATTTGGGTGGAGGCTACACAGTGGGGCAGCTGGTAACATGCTTGCTTTCCAGCAAAAAGGTTTGGAGTTTGTATTCTGGCTTCCGGTTCCTCCACATGGTGTTTGCATGTTCTCCCCATGTACTCCAGAAACCTGTTTTACAAAACCAATGACGATTTTACAGGATTTCCTTAGGATAATTTAAGACATGACTTGGTTTAAAAAAAAAATAAAAACGTTATCATTTGAGTTAACTATTGGGATCTATTCACCCATGCTTACTAAATCCTGGTGCCTTATCAGTTCAATCAATGGTCTCACTGATCAGAAACCTAAGAGTTTTGTCAGTTAATCTGTTTTATTATCTGTGTCTTTTGGTATCCTTTCAGCTTATATTAAACCATTAAAACGTCATTTTATTTAGTCAAGTACCTGATTTATTTTAACATTACTATGGGGGCCTACAGCAATGCTAACTATAATTTTCAATGTTTTCCCTGTGTCTTTGATACTGCTATAGCTCTGCATTTAACAGAAAGGCCTTTAATAGTCTATTGCATGTGCTTAGAGGATTGATAAGGAAGCCAAGGTGTTGTTTGTGAAGTCAGTCCATAAAAGTAGCTGCACATGTGTCTTCATTTACGATGGTGTTCCCAAATTTGATATTTTTCCTGACAATTACTTGCATGAGCATTACTGCTTTTAGAATAGAGCATGGCTAGACCATTACACAGAGATCTGTGTTGGGATTAGTATTTAATCTACTGGGATGTTTCTTAGCAAAGCAACCATTTATCACACCATCAGAGGTGTACATTTGGCATTAAAAGGATAATATGCACATCTTCAAAATCTTCCACAGCCACAGAAAAATAAACTAAATCAAGGCAGGTTTCAACATCATACCTGCTACAAGGAGTCCTTAGATCCAGTCTTATTAGTTCTGTATGAATATTGATAGGATGTGTAGCTTAAAACTAATAAACAATATCTGCTACTTTTTTTAATGTCAGACAGAATTCATGAATTAGCCCGGAGTTGATCCAAAGTTACTCACTTTCAAGTTAATGCTTTAAAACACAACAATATAAAACACAACGCAATATAAATCTGTTATCTGTAATAACCATTTTTTAAGCGACTAATTGTTCATTTCAGGAAAAAAAAATTACACAAAACTTTTATTTTCAATCAGATTGATGACAATTTCTGCAAAGTGTATTTTTTCCTCCTTATGTTGACACAGGAGTTTCAGGGTTAATGCTTTTTCTTGTGAATCCATTTCATAGAACTATTTTACATGAAGCTTTAAGTACAGGAAGATATTTCAACTGGATTTCTATTCATACTAAGTCATAAAGTCTAACTTCTTATATTTTAACTGCATTCATAGAAAAAAGCCAACAAAATATAATTCAGTTAGTAAAGGTTAAACATAGGCTTCCAAAAACTGACCATTCAAATTTAGCAATTATTTTTCAATTTTATCTGGATTTACTGCCTTACTTCTGCTGGGTTACACCTAGACTCATATCTTATGTGCACAAACACATTGATTTTCATGTTAGTGTTAACTTTAATTCTCTCTGAAATCCCACTCATGGATTAACTGGTCTTTACCATGCTAGACATCCTTATTTTGCAGCGGCAATAGTATCAGTTTTTATGTGAAATATGTTTTTACCTGCAAGGATAAGCAGGTATAGACAACTGAGGAGTTGATGAAGCATATTTTCCCTGTAGTTCCCTCAGACCTTTTTCAATTTGGTTTATCTATATAATTTCAATTCGCAACAGGTCATCTAAAGGGATTTTACATAGACAACACAATTAAATCATGCAAAGGGTTTCCAAGGAAAAGCAGCTAATTGGATCGAGTCATTGACTTGCAACAGTATCTGCTTGCATTTTGTCCTTGACTGTACAGCAGTCCCTCAACACCTAGCAAGCATACTACGACAGGTAAGAGGAAATCTCCCTCATAACGAGAAGAACACTCAAGCAGAACCGGGCTGTGTGTGAGCCGCCATCTGCCGAGAAAAACAGAGGGTTCAAGGAGCTAGAAGCATGCATACAAAGCTAACATAGTAGCACTGATCCATAAATACCTTCTATATAAGAAAAGGTGAACTAGTGTGTGAGTGTGTGTGTGAATGGGTGAATGAATGTGGTGTAAAGCGCTTTGGTCAAGTCTCCTAACTTGAATAAAGGCGCTATATAAGTACATGCCATGCCAACTATGTCTTACACAGGGCATCTATGTCATCGATGCCCTGTCTAAGAAGGGTCAGAGTCGCCTCCACCTCCAGAGGAGGCCCCTGCTTAAAACCTTCTATGACTCTACGCTGTTGTCTGTTGGGCCCCTGGCAGCACAGAGCGGGAGAGAGAGATGTGGAAGCACTCTATATACTGTATCCTATGCACCTTTTTCTTCCTTAGGCACATTCTTCTTCTTTGGCTATTTGAGCTGATGTAACGTGTAAATTTCTCCACTGAGAGATCAATAAAGTCAATCAATAAATGTCTAGGAAAATAACCAATTGGATTCTAATTAGTTCTGAACCAGTTTTTATTTCAAAGGGATGAAAAAGAGCACACGCAGTTAAGGGTCAAACCAACAAATACTGCAGAATGGGAGAACAGACAGAATGAAGAAAAAAGATGAAAAGCCTACAGCAACATAACTATAGAAATAGCTTAGGGTAACCTGAGCAACTCTAAGCTTTATCAAAAAGTGCCTAGTGTTAATAGTAGATCGGGTTTCTGCCCCCATCAACACAGCAAAAATGTAAGGATTTTTTATGTCAAAAAAATTAGGGAGACAAAAATATTTTTATACAAGCTTTATTTACAATGTGGTTTTTACTTTTCATCCTGTTGGAAGCACGTTTTCAAAAGCAGGGTCTTCGGACAAAATGTGAGATGACATCCATCCAAGTGGAAGTGTTTTTTATTATGCTGTCAATCGCAAATATTTAAACCCCATGACACTATCACAGATGTTATGTACAAATTGTCTTTCTATACAAGCAATGTACAACATTGGCAAGAGGTCAGTATTTGCTTTAGGATTTATGGAAAATAAGACAAGGCCCCTTGTTGCTCATGTCAAGTTTAAAACTCTAGGACACTATACATTTATTCTACCAGTGTCTAAAAAATACAGACATGACCTTTTTAATTTGATTTCTGCGTATTGCATTAAATATTTGTCAAACACTGAAGTGATATTACAGTGGAAGTTTCAGAAGCGCACCATTTTTTTTATTTCCTTCTTTATTGTCAAAAATAGTTGAAAGGGCAACAAGTCGGTCCTGCCTGTAATCAGTTACAGGAAATATGCTCAGATAGAAATACAGTGAGGGGCTCAATGGGATGAAAGGAGGAATAATTATTTATAATACAGGTTTACCTTAACTCCAGTTGGAAATTCGTTAGGTCAACCACAATTCGGATGGGTTTATTATATACAAACCAACCTCTGAGGATGGACGGAGAGCAGAGGTCTGTGTACTTTAGGTACAAATTATTCAAACAGGAATATGGTTAATGTCCCATTATACACAAAAATAAGATTCGTATAGAAAAAAAGAAAACCTGAAGACTCAAAGAAAGAAACATCTGCATCCTTAAATGTCATTTCAACACTTGGTTTTGAAAGATACTTTTATTTGATGACCATTTTGCCCGGCTACCAGCATATCAGAATAATCCCACATGTATCTTTAATAAACTTAAAGGTCAATCATAAGCTTGCTGCAAAACATGCTGATGAGAAAAGTAAAATGTCTGTCTTTTTTTTTTTGTTAAAGAGAAAAGAATAATATAATATAACTGCAAACTTATTTGCACAGTGTTTTAAAAAAGGAAAACTTTTTCCTCTAAACACTGTTTGCACAAAAACTTTCACTCTTGACTTTGAGTCAAATGCTTTAAAACTGAAACTCTTCTCCTTCTGTTGCATAAGTTACTTAACAGTATTTTGATCTTACTTACATCCATTGTAACAGTATAAATGGCTATATTATAATACTAACAAATGTTAACACTGCTGTACAAGCAAAAAAGAATAAATAGGCCTTTAGGATAAAATGGTATGGATTACACTAAGAATACACAACAGAAGAAATATGAATAAAACAGGAAAAAGTGAGAAAAGCTCTCATAAGCCAACCTTAGAGTTAAGTTAATGTCTAAATAAAGTTTTTCCCAAACTGAGGTTTTGTTCCTTAAATATTCAATAAATCTCATAAACCATTTAATTTAAATTTAAACAAAAGGCACTCAATTGGAGGATTTAACCATCTCTCTCTTTTAGGATTTAATACTACATATTTTCAGATCCTGGAAATACTTTTCAGCAACATATTTAAAATTAACCCTATAAAATAAAAACTAAAGAAACCAAACAGAAAAAAATAAAAATCACAGAACTGGCAGCAGCACCAAATATCTCTTTAAAAGGAATTTGCCTACAGCGTATCAAATAACACGCCATATTTTGATACTGAAATGCATATTGTTTGTAATTATACCTAAAAAACACCATGAAAGAAAGACCCCTCAGCTTTCGATGGTTTTGAGTTTCCATAAAGGAAGTCGTTAAAAATGAAACTTTTTCTCCCTTTTTTAAACCATTTCACTGATTAGAAAGGCAAAAGATAATTACTTTCATCTGTAAAGGGCTACATTGAAAAGATAATTAAATAAGCTTACATTTTCCTAACATAGAAGGCTTAATGAGAGCTTTTAACTCAAATAAAAGCAAATCTGTAATAAGACTATTGATATAATACACAGTCTACGATCTGCAGCTCATAAAAACAAGGCAACAGAGTAAAGCCCCATAAACTTTTGTTTTGTCCAACACTTGGTGCAGTCAATACTTGCAAATAAAAATAAAAAAAACTTTAAGAATCAGTCCAACAAAGAGGTTGGACATCTTATGTAACACTTTAAAGGGGAGACAAATTATTCCTAAAAATGACATTATTCCTCCCAGTCATGTAAACTCAAACAGATCAGGAGGAATTTGTCGCTGAGGTATCTTGACACAGCCAGCCAATTCTTCCTAAATAATACAAGGAGGGCTTGGTAAACGGTTTGATCCAAAGGAAATAATGCTGCAGTCTGATTGCTTTAGGGTTGTTTGTAACACACTGCATCGTAACAGACTTGTTACACGTAAAAGCACGAGTGGGCGTGTCCATCGGGTGTGACATTGGGGTTAGGGGAGGGAATGGAGGAATGGTGGAGACATTGATGTTAGAACATCAGCAACAAAGGTAACAAAAAAACAAGGAGTTATTTGAAAAAAAGCTGGATTTTTTTTTTTCTGATCCCAAATCATTCGTCAGACTTCCCTGCAGGTTATGACGCGTAACAATGAAGGGGCGTTGTTAGTGCTCATGCTGCTGCAGCTGATAGGGGGACCGCATATTTTGCAGGCTTTAAATAAGGTAAGAGCTCATGCAAACAGTATGCAGGCAGGTTCATGCATCAGGTGCCGCTCGGCCTAGCCAGGCCCACAGTCAGAGCAGGCCAAAGAGGGACTAGGCCAGGCCACACAAGGCTAGGAGCAGCTCAGTGGTGTACCAGTCATGCAGTGATATTGCTGTGGGAGGAGGAGAAAGAGACGTTATAGACAGATGGCAGAGCTGGTTAGCACAAAGAGCAATGTGTCAGAAGAAAATTAAAAGATCTTTTTATGATGTACGTGGGTTAAAGAGTGAAAAAAGGTTTCATAGGCAGACTGATGAAAATAAATAGCTGTGTCTAACTGATGTTGACGGGACGTCTACATTTCTGCCATGGAAAAATAGGTCAGCCTCTGTGATATTCTGAATACTACAGGTTTCATCTACAGTCGCACGGTTCAAACTCAAATGGCTGAAGGTTAATGCTTTCTCATTTCAAAGGGAAGGCCTGCAAAATGATCAATTACACCAACACAGACACAAAAACTATGGCACACAAACACTGTCCTACACAACCCAGAACATGCTGGTAAAGCTCAAGAATCAAACCGGAATCATAACACACATTAACATTTACCAATCTACAGTGCAGGTCAGAGGTTTAAACTCATCATTGGAATGATGAGAGACTGGGAATTGCATACATCATCACAGGCTGCAATATTGCAAATGCAAAAGACTGCTGAGCTGCAATATTAAGTAGGGTATTATTTCCCAAGTGTCAGACATATCAGCTATATATCTGGAGAGTTGGATGGAGTCTCATCTGCCATGACAAACGGGTTGTATATTTATAGCAGATGAAATGCTAAAAGCAACCAGAGTGCTGCTGGCGTTTTATAAAGGGGAAGAAAAATAGTGTCATATGCAGGTTAATTGGAACATTGTCATTTTAGGTCAAAAGTATCGTAATTAAATCAAGTACAGTGCATCCTCAAAGATGTCTCCTCTCCTACACTGTTAAAAATTGAAATTTTTGGTTTGTTTGTTTTTTAAAAATGACAAAAAAATCTATGGTGGAAGCAGTGTCATGCTAAGGGGTTGCTTGGTTCCCAGTGGTTCTTGTCCTATAAAAATAAGAGATCCTAAACATTTTCAAATCGAAAACAACTGGGATTTCTAATGGGACAGTGGTCAAAAACACAGAGTGGGGTTATAACATGGACAACTGCATTGAAGCAAACACTAGTTGAAGTCAATATTTGAAACTTTATGTATTATTTTGACCCAATAAGAAAAGGATGTAATGCAAAATAACTCAAAACTGTGCTCTCTGTTTTATCATTCCACCTTATTTGATTGTACTAAGTCTAAAATGAATTACATTCATTTAGATTATAATACCTCTGACCCGCACTGCATTTAGTTAAGGAATTGCACTTTCCGAAGCCACTTCAAAACCAGTTGAAGTTTTCTCTTTCTTGGAAAAAAAAATTCCCAATTATTGCTCAACTTTCCCAACTATAAATCTACTCCGCAACCTCATTCAGACACTTAAATGAAAAAAATTATTACATATGAAACACGTCTTTCTATCAATCAATGCAATCATGTAAGACCAATTAAGAATGTAGATCACCTAAAATTAAAACAACCTTGCTGCAAATTCCTGAAAGCTACGTCTTTAGATTTGTAACATTATGCAGTCATTCTCTTGTCAATAGCGAATGTCACAGGTAGAGAAGTGCATAAATACTGCATGAAAGGTAGAACTGTTCCTTTTATCAAAAATGACAGTAACTTGGCAAAAAGATGCAAGTCTTCCAAACATATAGGTCAGGATTAGCTGAATGGTAAAGTCCTATTAGTCATTATAAAAAAAAAGTATGCTGGGATTTGAATACGGTAGAAGTCTTGCATCACTGGATGGGAGACCAGGTTAAAATAAGGTTTGGCAGGAAGAAAAAAAAATATGGTGCAAGATTTGGGCGTCCATGCCCTGAATCTTTACCTCATGGATCTGATTGAGAAGAAAAAACAGAAAATCAAAAGGCAGAATCCATTAGTAATAAATGAAAAATGTTGTGCCTCGAAAAAGGGCTTTCCAGTTAGAGATAAGCTCAGAGGATTTCAGAGGCAGCTATTTTTTGTGCCCTGGGGCCATCTACCTTGCGGTAGCTGGCTGGACGTGGCCTGGGTAGGATCGGCGTGTGCTGGTGGCTTGTCTCTGTCGAGCTAGGAAAGACTGGCCGGAACCGGTGTTGGCAAGTCGGTCTTCAGCCGCCTTCTTCTGCATAGACATGCCCTGGTCAGAGGGGAGGGAGAAGGTTATTGGAGTGGTTATAAAACATGAAAAGCATATACTGTGCTTTGCAGGAATATTCATTCTCTTTCAAGTTGAACACATTCTGTCATGTTACAAGCACCACTTTCAATGTATTTTGTTGGTGTTTAATATTGCAAGAAGAAAGTTCATGTTAAAAAAGAAAGAAAGACATTGAAAATCACATTTGGAGTTGACCACGATCTATTTATGGGACAGAGTTAACATGGTAAGGAAAGACAAAATAACATACATGGAAAATACCATATCAGTGACTGAAAATTAACACTGTAAATCACCAAAAAATGGCAGCAGGCCGACAGACACATGTACGGCAAATAAATGGATGAGCCAGTTAGAAACTTCAGGTAATTGTGGAAGAAAAACCTGAGCCTCAGCTGTTTTATTGAGGAAAAAATAGAAATATAAAACAATAATAATAAACTATGTTAAAGGTTATGGTATTAAAAATTAGTGTGAGAAGGTTTCAGCTGCACAAATATTTGTGCACAAGACAAAGCCTTTTTAGATCAGGCTTGTCTCACAATCTGTTGCAGAAAAGCGCCTTCATTTACTCACCTGTTTCTACACTGTGTCTAAAGAAGAGTTTTGCTGCCCTCTACTGTTATTTTAAATGCACTGTTGTTTTTCTTTAATTACTAAAAGTATTTTTCATGTTAAAAACTGTGCAAAAATTAACACAATATAAAAAAAAGAATACCCTTCAATAATGAATACAAATCTACTTAACAAAAAAAACAAAAAAGGGTTTCCAGAAAAGTCTTACCATGTTGTACCAGGCTGAAACGATAAGTTTCTCCTCGTTGTCTCGCTGGATTTTTGTCTTGTCCATTTCCTTCTGTTTAAAGTAAGCAAACAAAACAAAAGTTGAAAATTAAAATTGTAAAAAAAAAAAAATGCACCAGACCTCAATTATTTAATGAACAAGTTATTTAATCTGTAACAAACAGCTCATTTACCTCGAGTGTGTGCAACATTCTCTCCTTTTCTTGCAGCTGGTTTTTCAAGGCCTGAACCTCTGGACCGGAACCCTGGTTCTGCTTTGGGTCCAGCGTCCGAATAACCTGCAAAGACAGCATTCAGACCCCATCTCAGGTTGCTCTTAACTTGAAAACACCAACTAAGTGTAAATGTAGTGATAAAGATTGTTTTATTGCTGAAATTTCACTTACACTCTTTGCTTTTTCTAGATATTTCTTATATCTCTCCTCCATCAGCTTCATCTCTTCATCTTTTTTCTTTAGCGCCTCTTCAAGCTCATCCACTCTTTGGGCTAAGAAGAAAAACAAAGTTTTCTACTCATACCCCACATAAAGGAGGACATTTTAGCAAAGTAAATCAACATGTTGAGGGAGCTGCTGGAAAACACAGATTTTCTTAAATGAAAAAGATCCCAATCTGGACTGCAGATCAAAAGTTTGTTTTTTTCTTCCAATGCTGAAGTTTTCCAAAGTTTTATGAAATTCAGCTTTGTGGGTTTTTCTGTATTCCCGCTGACAAGCAGCAGATATCACATTTCCCCTCCACAGCTCTTAACCTGGCATGGAAATAAAAGTGAAAACAAGGCTTCAAACAAGCAGCATTGAGTCCAAACTCACAGCTAGCATTGCACTTTGGTTCCAATTCATCGATGATAGCATTTTTCTTCAATAACTCGTTGTTCACTTCTTGAAGCTTCTCCCTAAAACAACAAAAGGATTCATAAAAAGTGAGATGTGAAATAAATTAGGTCAGAGAGTTGCTGTGCAAAAAAGTAAAAATGATCTGAGTTATAAATTACTCTATCACTTACACGTGTTCATCATATTTCTTCTTCAAAACCGATGACTGAAATAGAAAAGAAAAAGAATAAATACATGTGCATACATGTAAGCTAACACCCACTATAGTGTAGTCATAAACTATATTCTAAATATGTTAAAAAGTTTTTTATGTTTATTATACAACCCTCCTTTTAAAAGCCTAGATTTAAAAATGTTATTGTATATTATTTTTTATTGTATGTAATTGAGCTTTGAAGTTTTTTTTAAAGATTAACTCATTTGCCATTAAAGGCCAAGTTCGATCCAATTAATTTTAGAAACTCAAAACATAAAAGAGCATTCTGCTTGCTTACATCATCTGCTTTTGAACCCTGTTCCTGAACAGTCTTTTGAAGCTCTTCAACTTGACTCTGCTCCTCCATTAACCGCTGATTGATTAATCTACATAAAGACACGCAGAGAAAATAAAATAAAAAACAGAAAGTGATGCATGAATTCAAACAAACTTAAATACCAAAAGGATTATCTGTTTTTTTCATGTTCATGCCAACCTGTTTTCTGTCTCTAGTTCATTTTTTCTTCTGTTGGCGTCTTCTAGTAGACTCTGCAGCAAGGCGATTTTCTCGTTGTCCGATCCCTCCTGGGCCAGCTTCAGCATTTTGTTTTCATGCTGGAGACGAATCAGATGTTCTCTGTAGAAACCCAGCAAAGGAGACCAATTAGGCCTGACAAACATTTAGCTTCAATTATCTCTAATATAAGCTTATATGGAGATATACATATAGATATGAAAACAACCTAATTTGAAAGTGATAGATTAGGTTATTGTGGTGAATGAAAAATAGTTTGCAAGAGTAATCAAAATCCTTGTTCAGCTAAAAAGAAATCAATAAAGAAAACTACGGTATATAAAAATTGCTAAGTGGGATGACTATGTCTTGGACAAATTAATATAAAATATATTAATCATACAGACAAAAACATTCTCCTGAATGGGAGTTGCTACTGAATGAATTAGAATCAAAGTTGGTTATTGTCATGATAACTGAGCTGTGAAGCAATTTATATACAGAAGGTGGTTAAAAATCAAACCTTGTTTTCAACAACCTATCAGAGACTGTTTATGTTTTAATTATGCAACATAAGTGTGAGACTTAGAGAAAATAAGACAGAAGAATGTAATAAAAGAAAGTCGTTTTGATTAGCTTTTAATCTCTGACTGATTAAACATACTGGATGGTGAGTCAAAGTGACAAACATTTAGCATAAACTGCCTTTTCTCCATACAGCGTGACATAATTGCTGCTCTAAAATATTAACGACAGCTCACAGCCACGCATTTTTAATGCTGTTCACATACAATTTCATAGCCCTTAAAAACATTCTGAAACAAACAAGGACAGGTATAGAGGGGTCAGAGCTTTAAAGCAACGCTGCATCACTTTTAGCCATTAGGGGAATTAGACCTACTGAACTGAAGATTCTCCCAAGGCCTGTTGCTATCTGACAGCAGGCCACTTTGGACCAAGAGATTGAGAAATAATACAGCAATTTGTAAAGACAAGGTCACACTAACTACTATAGATTAAATCCTACACTAAAAAAAACAAACAAACAAAGCTCTGACCTTGTGTCATAAGTTTTACTACCTAAAAACAACTTTTGGCATAGCTAGCTTTCCCGCTTAAATGGTGCTCAGACTGCTGCAAAGCGTCACTCTAGGTCTAATGTCTAATCCAATGATGATCCGACTCTTAAGTAACACAGGCATATTTTTGAGAAGGACAGTTTGCACAGAGTATTAACTGGGAGAAGACATGTAAACTGATCAGGAAAACATTTAACATATCACGAATTAAGTTAATCCTTGGGTCAAAACGTATGCATAACTGCTTTAATAAAAAAGATAAATCTATCGGTGCATCTCTGGCATGAAGCTTTGTAACGATGATAATTTAACCTCATGCTAAGTACTGCTAAAATGTCCACAATCCAAACATTTTAATATCTTCTCAACAAACCAAATGACTCAATCTAGCTGCTTCTTTAAACATCTCTACTGAAGCCTCTTACTTCCATGATGTGTCATTTTCTAATTGTTAAAGAGTTCCCTGAATTTGGATTAAGCTCTTTTCTTCCAAAAGCTGCTTTTCAAAGCTTATCAATTTAAGGGCTTTCTGCATAATGACCGATTGTTTTACGTTCATGAGTGCTCTAAAATCAAAGAAAAAGAAACAGAGACTGTGTAAGTGGCGTGCCTCCCTTAGAGAGCTGTAAACACTTGTTACAAGAGGCTTTAAAAAGAAATCTCTCATTAACCCCAAATGAACAACTGTTATAGAGAAAAAGTCTTGCTGAGAAGCAGCTCAGAATAGAGGGAAACACTTAAGAGTATTGCAGATAATTCTGTTAAACCATAACATTATAATTACCAAGCTGCCTGATAATAATTAAGTTTTCTTCATACAACCAATCAACTTCTGACAATTCAGAACACAGACAGAGCAGCAGAGGATTTAGGACATGAGCTTTATAAAGACAACATTCTCAGACAGAACAGCAGCATATGGGGTGAATGACTAATGAAAAGGCATTAAACAAATCTAAGATTTCACTAAAGGTACTGAAAACTTGCACGGGAAATATTTGCCTGTTCAACCCTTTTAAAGAACTAAAAGTTCTATTGTTAAATATACAGTGAGGAAAAAAAGTATTTGAATATGTTGCTATTTTGCAAGTTCTTCCCCTTAGAAATCATGGAGGGGTCTGAAATTGTCAACCCAGGTGCAGGTCCACTGTGAGACAATCTATAAAAAAAAAATGTAAAAAGATCCAGAAATCATAATGTATGCTTTTTTTTTTTTTAACTATTTATTCTATTTATTTGTATGATACACACAATAGTGGTTGAGACAAGCATCAATTCAAGCCTTGTTTAGTTCGCACAGCCACTTGTAATTAGGAGGAAGCATTTTTTTCATGCAGCCATTTGTTTCCCGAGGCACAGCTGTTAGGATCACACGAATATGTCTGTTTACATTAGTTATGATATAGGAGGATACAGAGAGTCAAGTTGGAAAAAAAAAAAGAACTGGATTGTCTCAAATTATGGACTGCTTCAAACAGCAAACAGGATTTACAGTGAATGAATCACCAAACCATAACAGCATAACATCAACAAGATGGATGCATTTATAACTTTAAACATTCACTTTATACTACTGGAGCAAAAGGCAGAGCCTGTAGCAATGCTCTCCGACACACTGAACAGACCAGTGGCTCTTTGCTCACAGAGTTTCAGCATTTTAGAAAGGTAATCAAGTCTCTTATAACAATGGAAACCTGCTCTTATAAAGTAATCAGAAGTTTGTGTATTTGTATATTTTCTAACTTTCAAACTGGTCCAATGTAAGAACAATATATTCAAAACAATACAAGGACAGCTTTGATTATATTTGGGCATACTGGTATCTGAATGAAAATCAAACATTTCTGGCCACATTTAATGTAATGCTCTGAGATTAGTTTTCCTAATTATAAATATTTAAATGTATTACCATAGATGGTCGTCAAGATAGCAAGTGCAAATTTATGGTTCTGATTATACAGCAAGGTGACCACTCTTATTGTGGATTAGGAAAGGGGGTTTCAAGAAGCAAACTATTACTGTCTGGGATTAGTGAGTCATTCGTATCTGGTTTTCTATTCATACTGCAGATTATTTGATAGAGTAGCTAAGTCACTGAAATATTTAAATGCTAAAGAGAAAACAATAAAGTGTGATTTACTTACCGCATTTCTGGGGTTGTGATCTCAGCAGCCAGTGAATCTGATCCTTCACTGCCACCTAGTGGGAACAAACCTGGCCAAAAATAGAACAGTAGTTAATGTTGTTTTCCAAACCTAGAATAATAGATCTTGTTTTTGTCAAAAAAATCCAAGTTAAGTTAGTTCATCTTTACTTGATGTCAGCTGTCCCTCTTGAGCCTGGACACAGTGTAGTTCCTCAATGGTTTCCTTCAGCGAATCTCTCTCTGTTCTCATGCGCTGTTAAGGGACAGAGTTAAAATATGTGTCAAAAGAAGTTACAATAATGCAACAACTAGAATTACTCGGAAGGAATTTGATTTGCACATAAGTCAAAACAATCTGCATACATCTTTTTCTTTTTGTAGAGAGTCCACTTTCTCTTTTAGGCGTTTGTACTCAAACTCCATCTTGTCTGCCTTTTTGGACTCTTCTGAAAGCCTGTTCTGAAGTTCAACAACCTGAGCATAGATGAGAAGATGCATTCACATTGATATGTGGAAGCAGGGTGACTACAAAAAAAAAGAAATTTAACTACACCGTTATTTTAAAACCTCTCCTGGTCAGGTACCTGTCTCTTATAGCTCTCCAGCTGACCCTTAGTAGCATTAGCCTTTCGAAGCTCTTCCTCCAAGCTGACATTAGTCTGCATCAATCCGGTGTTCTTCTCCTCTTGAAGCTTAATCTGGAACGCAAAGAGAAAAAGCAAGCTAATTTGAGATAGCTGTCTTGAAGGTAACTTTTTAGGCTAAAAATAGGTGATATCAGGCCCCATCATAAAATGTTTAATCGCTTGCCAATGTGTAACTGTACCTGTCTCCTTAGCAGCCCCATGTCCTCCAGTTTTTTCTTGTAGTGCTCCACCATTCCCTCTAATTTGGATACTTTGTCAGATGAGTGTCTAAGAAGGTGGAAAGATATGAGGTAATAAGTTGTGACGTTCAACTGCCACAAAGTATTTACATTACTTGAACCTTCCTATTTCACGTTAAAACTACTAACCTTAATGTTTTTTATTAGGATTTCATGTCAGACCAGCCCTATGCAGGGTATAGTAATGAATCGAAAATACTATTGATTTTATTTTTACATTTTACAAGTAAACAAAGTTTATGACAAAAAAGTTGAATTGTATTCTTAACCTACTCTTTTGGGATGCTGTTATCAGGGCAGGCTTTTAGCTAGCAATGCGTACCGCTGAACATTGTACAGCCTTTACTAAAAAAAATGACAAATTGTGCGCTCTGTTTTCCCTTGGAAACCTGTGTACTGGCATTAAAAAAATGGAAGCAGTAGGCACTTATTTGATGGTGTGCTGTGTGAACACAACAGTGCACTTTATTATTGTTTGAATTAACCTATGAAATATAATATTGAACCGAAAAATGATCGTTATGAAATTTCCACCTCTAGGCAAGTAGACATATTTCCCATAATAAGTAGGGAGGATGGAAACCTTTTTGTTTCACTTCTACAATTAGGATCTATGTTTTGGTCTTTTACAAATCATAACAAAATACAGTATATTGGGTTTTAAGTTGTGATGATTGCACTTTCACTTTTAGTGCAATTATATTTATTACAATCTTACCTGAGGACATCCATCTCATCTTTGAGAGACTGGGCTTCATCGGCCAAAGCTGTGAGTTCTTCATTCTGGGACTTTACATCTAGGAGCTCTTTCTCAAGCTCCTCACAGCGGATCCGGTAGTCGTCTTTTGCTGCCTCCAGCCTGAGAGAATATGTTAAAGTTAATACTTACCCTCAATCAATTCGACTGCTAGTAGTGTGTGTGTGTGTGTGTGTGTGTGTTGCTAGTGTTTGCCTGAAAGATTCTTCTTGTAGCTGCTCCAACTGTGACTGCAGTTGGAGATGTTTTCGTCCAGCAGGACTGTTTACGTCTTCAATAGAGTCAGACTGATGAAGTCTCTCCATCATAAGCTGGTTTTCTGCCAACAGACTGCTCTTCTCTTCTTGCAGAGCAGCTACCTGAGACGGTGAACATGTTGATGAAGCAGCGGGAAAAACCGGACGTATGAAAAACAGGAGAAAGAAAGCAGGGAGTTCAGTGAGGTGAGGTTCAAGCTTGGCCTTTTAAAGATAAATAAAATGTAAACATTTCATGGCATTTAGTTAATTAGGCTCACAATCACTGCGGTATTAGGATTCTATGTCGTCAAGTACACGTCAAACACACATCAATGAGGCAAATCAACAGATTCAAAGACAGTGGGAGGGAAGTACATGGGTTCATGTTTTCTTGTCAGTTTGATAGTCGAGGAATCAAACTCCAAACGAAGCGAAGCAGAAGCTGGTTCTCATCCTTTTCAAACAGCAAAAAGAAACAATGACTGAAACAAAAGCAATATATCGCCTTGCATTTTTATTTTTTCTGTCAAATTATCCATCATGTTTTTATTTACCTGATTTTTTTGACTTTGCCAGGTTCAAATCAATTGATGTTTATAAAAATATAAATTGAACACAATGCTCATCAAAAATACTAAGAAAGCATGATTGATGTTCTTTAAACCATCCATCATTTTTAAATAACTTCGTATGAGTGTTAAATTTTAAATAACCAGCCTACAATATCTTGATGTTTTCATAAAACTAACACCTTTGGCATGTTCATGACTCAACACAATAACATGGCATATTTTCAAAAAGAGAAATAGTTTTAGAAGGTTAGTAAAAAAAAAAAATTAAACCCAGTTTAATTTTACATAGTTTAATCGTTCCATTTTTACATGATTTTGATATGAAGGCTAGGAAAGACAGTTTTTCAGAAAATTTCAACATAATCAATTGTTTGACAAAAAGAAGTTTTAAACAGGAAAATTTTCATTCATTGGCCTGGTTCACTCTACAACCTAAGCCAGGTCTTAAAGACTTACCAAACAAACATATCTAAGATTTAACTTCATACAATAGAATTATTTGAACTAGGCTAAGAAAGGAAAATGCTTGAAGAGTTATTCAGCGATTCAAACACAGCTGGAAGTTAGCAACTAGAAATAAACAAATGCATCGTCTGGATGATATATTTGGCTGATATTAGTTTTTTTTTCTTTTATTGGCATTTACATTTTGGCATGATATTTGCATGTGTTCGCCAATCAAGTCTTGAAATCATGTGAAGTGTTTGCATTGTGCTTCTCCCTCTGCTATTCACTGTTAATGTTTTGTGTAATTTGTCAATACATGGGTATTTTTGTTCAAACTTAGATTTCTGTAACATTTATCATGTAAATGGAGAAAAAGCAATAGCTATTTTAAGAATAGACTCAAAACTATAAGCAATTAGACTGATATCAAAATAATCAACAGACTTAAAAACAAAAACAAAACCGTCAATGGATCCATTTCAATTAGGAGCTATAATTTGAATCCTTCAGATCAAGCCAGAGTCACATGACCAAACAAATACCACATGATCAATCTCCTCCTCTCTACCTGCTGAAACAAAAACAGCAACTACACAGAAACTATTTTTCGGATGCTAATATTGGCCCAGCTTAACTTAATAAACTGCTATCCATAAAAATGACCAACATTGGCTGATAGAGATATTGTCGATACATCACACATCCATAAAGATTGCATCCCCTATATTGACCTAGAATGATGATGACTCTTACATTCAGAAATAAGATGAATGTTTTCAAAATCAGTTAGAGGTTTTTGAATACTGTAACCCCTTCAAATTCTGATATAAATACAAAAAAAGATAAAAATGGTCAAGGCAAAAGAAATATGTTCCTGTAAATCCTTTTATCTTAAAGCAGATAATAAAAGAGTTTTCTAAGAATGTCCCACTTTTATTTTATTTCTGCCTCTCTCCTTTGCCATTTACTGTTGGTACTGGAAAGCATGAAAAACACGGAGGTGAGAGACGCCCAGGATTGTTAGTGCAGGACACCATCCGACACACTGAGACAAAACAGCAGCTGTAGCTGCAAAAAGCACCATGTGTAGATATGTGCACAGAAATTTGCGCACAAACACGTACATGTATGCACATGCTCACACGGTTTGGAGGAGGAAAATCTGGTGCAAGCAGGCTGAAAACAACGCAGGACTACTTGACACGGCACTCATTGTGGATGGAAGGAAGAGGCGAGAGAAAATGAAGTTTGCATTTACCCTCTCTTCTAGCTCATTTAAGTCTAACCTCAGTCTATCACGCTCCTCTTGGGCATGGAGGGCCTTTAAAACAAGCCACACAGTGTTGAAACAGAAAAGAAAGACATTGGAAACTACTTAGAGTCAGGGAAGAAGAAGTAACACTTAACTGTTAAATGTTTTATATAATGTTCTGTTCTTCAATGCTTTATTTATCTGTGTTATAATTCAAAACCTCTAAACTCTACTGATTTTTATTTTTATTTTTTGCAAAGTCATGTCAGTGCTGCAATACGTATTATCGCCTTATACACTGTATTTAACAACCTAAACTATGGTGATGAAAGTGTATTATCATTGTGGCTGCATAAACTGACCTGTAAGTCAAGCTCACGACACCTCTGAGCGATCTCTTCCTTGGTTGCCAAAGCATCATTCAGCTCCTCAACTGTCTTCTTCAACTGAAAACAAGGAAAAAGCTCAAAGATTTGATAAAACTATATTTATGGTGTGATTCATTGCAAATTCAAAATCTGACACACAGTCCTTTCATACATTCTGTCAATAATATGTACTGTTGGAAACGAAAGGCTTAGTCAAGAGGCATAAATCCACAGGAGTCCAAAAAGTCCAAAAGCAAAACTATAGATCATAACATTTACTTAGGGGTAAAATAAATAACACATTTTTGTACACAAATAACGAACTTATCTAGGAATCTAAATTTACCTTAGACTTTAAAGATTTACATAGAGCATCAAGAAACTTTTTTTTATTTTTTTCACCTTCCCTGTTTGAAGCCGAAAGCAGACATTTACATAAAATGGATAAAAGAGTCACTACATTGCATGTATTCTCTAAATGTCAGTCATATTTTTTAATAATGCTTCAAATTCAGGAGTTTCTATACTCTTAAAGGTGTATTGCAGTTTAAAAGTCAGAAATATTTTCTTTTCAATATATGTTACCAATTAGCTGACATGTAAAAGAAGCTTTATCTCCTTTATTCACACTCCACAGGCTCAATAATCAAATAATAATTGCACTAGGGTGTAGGACACTGCACACTTTTGTCCACTGGGCTACTTTGTTAAGTCTCTGCCGCCACTGATGTTTAGCAAAAGGACAAAGCCGACTTTTTCTGAAGATGGATCACAAAAGACCGGCCACATTTGCCACCTCAAACTGAATTACAGACTTAAACCTTTGTCCAGTGCAACAAAAAGAGGCAAATTGGAGTCTAATAAATGACAGAATAACATAATAAATAGTGGGACAGTTTTCAAGTCAGTTCAGATCTTTCTAGGAAATGAAAAGGGATCCACAGTTGGCAATTTTTATGCTAAAGGGGTAAGATGCTAAATTTAAAATAACCTCAATATTTTACTTTCTTACCTCAGATGATATTACAGATCTAAACAAAAGACAGGCTGCAGCTCTTCTTCTCCTTTCCCATATGGTGCATAACACCTCTTACATTTAAAATAGTTCCCACAGGGAGCCAAGCTCTGCAAATATTCTGGAACCTGCACTATGCTCTTTTAAATTACTCAGCTTTTTTCATTGGTCTGTTTGTTTGTTTTTTTAATCAATTCACTTCATAAGACTGTATCATTAAAAAAGGAAGAAAAATGTGTTTAAAAGAGGGTAATACCTCTTAGCAAACAGCTGATCTTATTACCACATAAGATTATCCCTCATTTATCTGGCCTCTAGGACATATAATCAATGTTGGTAATCCTAACTGAACTAAAATAGGAAAAGTTGTATACTATATAATGTCAAAATAGCTTTTAAACAACTTTTTTTTTCTTGCACAAACATAATACATATTCCCTGAGAATATATCTAATTATCAGAGTAGTAGATACAATTATAAAAGTGGAAATGTATAAACCTTACATACCTCTCTGTCCAGATCTACATACGAGTCATTTCCTCCCGGGGTGACTGCAGTCTCTTTACTCATAAGCTGCAGGTGAACAAAACAACCATTGATAACTTATATTTAAAAACACAAAGCAGGGATGAGGCAAATGAATATAAACAATGTTGGACTGGAATTTGAACAAAGGCCTACCTCCTGGATGGCAGTCATGACGACATGCTGCACCGACTCCTCCATCACCATTATGGTCTGGATGTATTCTATACCAAGCAAAACAGCAAAATCAGTCAGACCTGTCTGCACAGAAACAGATAATCAACTGAAACTATAAGCATTATTGTCAGCTGGTTGAATAAGTACCTTGTTTCTGTTCGCAGTTAACGGCACAGCCCAGGATGAGTTGTAACATTCTCCCAAGTTCTGCAGCGTCAGAGTGCTCTCCTATCAAGTTGACATCTGGTAATGTGAAATCATTGATCTGTTGACCTAAGACCTGAAAAGAAAAACCATCAGTCTTTTGCCTAAAACAAAATCAGCCTAACCTTGCATTTTTCTACATTAAAACTTGATTGTTTTAGAAAAGTCTTACCTCCTGGTAGTAGTCCAGAATGCCTTTCAAGATTTTCTTTAGATTGCTGACCTGCATGAACAATTATATTTCTTTATCAAACATTTAAGGACACTGTAGCAGATGCTTATAGTCAATACAGTTATAAACATTACATTAGTTGTATGCTAAATAATTCCACTGGTTTACAATTGAGAATGTGCAATGCCTACCTTTAATCTCCAGTTGTCCCCGACCTCTGGCTTGATTCTGCTAATCCAAGCATCATTGAAATACGATATATCTCTATAAAGGTCAGAGGAAAAAAATGTTAGCATCTGACACAAACACCTTTATGAAGACACAAATGCAAAAAGAAAGATATGCCTTATAATCTAGGTCTCTTAACAAGAGTCGAAAACAATGGGATTCATTCAGAGTTTAAAAGCTTACATTTTCTGAAGGACTTGGGCCATTACTACACCCCCGGTCAAATCTTCTACCGTCTTGCACGGTGCTTCCACTCCGAATGTTTGGATCTGTGTAATGAACAGGCAAACAGAAACCCATGGTAAGGATAAAATGCTACCGAATCAAGAAATGTTACTGATTGCCACAGCAGAATTTGATCTATTTTACACACTATTTTTTTTTATGTCAACTGAAAAAACCCAAATTTCTGTCAAAATACAATTAAGAGAATGTTAATGATACATAGATGTGTGTGTGTAAACAACCGTGTGTCCCTCTGCAGCAAAAAATGCTGCAGAGAGACACTTTAAATGCACTGAGAATTGATAGACTTTAACAAAGAAATTGGGTGCATTATGCACCAATTTCACAATACTGTGATTGCTGACAGGTCGATAATGTTACTGCAAATCCGCTTCAAGCATTTTCTGAATTTTGAGAAGAAATGTCAGCAGTATGCCACCAAGTATTAGGATCCTAGCAGCGGTAAGGAAACAGGTGGAAAATATCAGACCATTTAAAGCAGAGACCTGTTTTAGTGCCAAGAACAACAGGTTAGACCACATGTTGATTTGCCAGTGAAAACAGCTCTTAAAGCAAGATCTTCATGGGAATACAACCCAAGTACTTGCAATTCCTGCCTAATCCCATTTTGCCCGTCCCCTTTACTTACTTCCTCTGTTTTATCACATCAATAAATTTCAGATCCTATTCCTATTTCCACATTACCTCACATGCAATGTCATCACTGTGTTTTACCCTCTGTGGTAGTTTTCTTCAGCTAGTAGGATCCAAGAAGAAAATATGCAGCTAAAACGGATATTATATTCTTCAGTCTAGATGCCAACAGCCAAAGCAGGAGGAAGCCTTTGAATCAGGAATGTTGTAATTCCTACATAAGGAAAACATAAAGCTGGAACTATTAGTTATGAGTCTTTTCTTTCCCATGCTTGGAAAAATAAGAAGCTCTGAAAAGAACATAGGATTTTGTATCTTCCTCATTCATTCCGTTTCTTCAGCTGTAGTATCTATTTTACATAATAAGCCCTCCCAGCTTATTGGCACGGATACAACTTTATATTCTTTAGCCCAACTGTGCTGCATCTGTGTGCCTCATGAAGGAGATCAGCTAATTTTGTAGTAGGCAATGGAGGATTACATTCCATCAGACCTCTCTAAAGGTTTAAAGTAAGAAAATCCCGATCCAATATAAGAAATTAGTACGATATTGGCAGACAATATTGGCCTTCTGTTCTCATCTGTAGAATTTTTCAGTGTAGCAAACACTGTGGCAGATATATTCAAAAATATCCCTGCTGCATTGAAATTCAGGCCGCCACGCCCAATTTTTTATGCGTATCTTCCCTCTGATTCAAACCTGGCGTGCTGTCAAGCTCATTTCCCCACAAACACTAAAATTTATAGAAAAATACACTGAAATTAGACATTACACCAACATGTTAACTTGTAATGGTATAGTGGCCTCTGAAACTGTGTTTT